GTACAAAATTAGCCTGGCGTGGTGGTACATACCTGTAATCCCAGCTACTCAGGAGCCTAAGGCAGGAGAATCTCTTGAACCCAGGAGGCAGAGGTTGTGATGAGCCAAGATTGTGCCATTGCACTCCAGCCTGGGCAACAAAAGTGAAACTCCGTCTCAAAAGTAAAATAAAGTAAAATTCAAATATATTTTAGAGTAGATTTATCCATGGCAAGAACAAGTACCTTTTTGACTAACAGATGTAAGGTTTTCACTTCAGGAATTTCTTTTGCTTAAAAGTGGTAGATTTTAGTGTATCCTTAAAATACTTGAAAGAAGAAAATGTGACAATTTCAAACCTTATGTTCGCAGTAAAAGATTTTTTTAATTGATCTTGAGTTCTTTTAATATTTCCTGTTTCCTGTGGGTGCCAGGAATAAACATAGTAGTAGCCTTGCTTGAAATTAAAAGAACAGTGATTAGGAAAAGGCCATTAAACAAGGAAAATATATTAAACTACTGAAGTAAAAAAAAAATCAAATCTGTAAAATTTACCCGTTGCCGAACATAAGTAAATTATTTGGAATGGCACTAGCCCAGGCCTTCAAAGTTTGCTTTCAAATATACCACAGGTACATAATCTATCTTCCTTGAAGAAAAGGGGAAATATTATAAAGTCTAGCTATATCTTTAAAAATATTATTGATTCTTAGGACTATATAACAATAGTAATGTTTTCAGATTTTACTTATAGGAAAAACATATAGATAATTTATTCAAATTACTTTAAAACTTCTGAAGTAATCTCAATAACCCCTTCAGTTATAAAGAGACTTATTTACATTCTTCTATTACTCAAGTCACTTCACATTTCCCTGCTTCCTGTTAAACAAAGAGTGATTTCAATGGGTAGCATACCCTTCAATCAGGATCTTGGACTTTCAGATGTGCCTGGAGAGAGAGTGGAAGGCAAATTTACATTGTTACTATCTAAATGACCTATTTATAAAGACCCCCGCATTCCCTAAAGCCTCACCCTGGGCATGTCAAATTCTTTAGCTTTTTAGTTTTGCTGCACATCTTAAGAGTTTATTGATGTACACACAGGAGGACATTCTTGAGAAAATGGAGTATTCTGTGATTACTCTATGGGGCTTTTTGCTTTTGTTAAGACAGATTCCCAACTTAAAAAATCTTTTCCAAAGAAGTCATTAAGAACTCAGGAAAAAGTCCCTTTTCCACTTAAATGGAAAATGACAGCAAGAGATGGGTCTTCTTAGTTAACAGTGAAGGACAGAAGCTCTGCTCTGTATCCACCCAGACTGTTCAAGATAAAGGAACTATTAGCACAGAATTCAGACTCAAGTAAACTAAGTTACAAGACAGCTTGAGCAAAGGTTTCCCCTTCTGCAAATGAGTTGGAGATCGTGGGTGAAATCATACTTACTTCACTGGTCCTCTGTCGCCCAGGCTGGAGTGCAGTGGCACGATCTTGGCTCACTGCAGTCTCTACCTCCTGGGTTCAAGTGCTTCTCCTGACTCAGCCTCCTGAGTAGCTAGGATTACAGGCACCCACCACCACACCCAGCTAATTTTGGTAGTTTTTAGTAGAGATGGGGTTTCACCATGCTAGCCAGGCTGGTCTTGAACTCCTGACCTCCAGTGATCCTCCCACCTTGGCCTCCCAAAGTGCTGTGATTATAGATGTGAGCCCCCGCCCCCGGCCTACTGGTCTAGAATTTTTAGACCTAGTATCTAATATGATAGCCACTAGCCATGTGGCTATTTAAATTTGTAATTACATATATATAAAAGTAAAAACATTTCCTCAGTCACACTAGCCCCATTTCAAGTAGTCAATATTGAACTACACAGATATGGAACATTTCCAACATTACAGAAAGTTCTGTTGGACAGCACTGTTCTAGATGAATTTTTTTTTTTTTTTTTGAGACGGAGTCTTGCTCTGTTGCCCAGACTGGAGTGCAGCAGCACAATCTCAGCTTACTGCAACCTCCATTTCCCGGGTTCAACTGATTCTCCTCTCTCAGCCTCCTCAGTAACTGGGACTACAGGCACATGCCACCGCGCCCAGCTGATTTTGGTATTTTTAGTAGAGATGGAGTTTCACCATGTTGACCAGGCTGGTCTCGAACTCCGGACCTCAGGTGATCCACCCACCTCAGCCTCCCAAAGTGCTGGAATTACAGACATGAGCCACCACGCCCGACCTCTAGATTATTTATTATATAAACTTTTAAGAGAGCAATTAAGCTACTGCTTAATCACTTGTTGTATTTAAAGGGAGTATGGAGAATTAATTTTTTCTAAAGATGAATTATATGAATGACCATCTTGGCTCTGCTCACAACTCATCTTTTTCCCCCCTCCCCAAATGATTCAGGGGCATTTTACCTCATGAGTTAGAATATCCTATTTTTTCTGCCTTCAGAGCTGGTCTAATTTCTTCAGAGATAGATTTGAAACAGACATTTAAAAGCTACTAAAGTAGCTGGCACAATGACGCAAGGCTGTGTAGTCCCAGCTACCAAGTAGACTGAGGCAAAAAGATCACTTGAGTCCAGGAGTTGTGGGCTTTTGTGCACTATGCTGATCAGGTGTCCACACTAAGTCCAGCATCAATATGGCAACCTCCTGGGAATGGGGGACCACTAGGCTGCCTGAGGAGTGGTGAGCCAGCCCAGAGGGGAATGCAGCAGGTCAGAACGTCCGTGGTGATCAGTAGTGGGATCACATCTGGGAATAAGCACTGCACTCAAGCCTGGGCAACATAGTGAGACCCCATTTCTTTCTTTCTTTCTTAGTATCCTTTCTTTGAGCTTTTTTTTTTTTTTTTTTTTTTTGAGACAGGGTCTGGCTTTGTCACCCAGGCTGGAGTACAGTGGCAATCATGGCTCACTGCAGCCTCAACCTCCTGGTTTGAAGTGATCCTTCTGCCTCAGCCTCCCAAGTAACTGGGACCACAGGCCTGCACCACCATGCCCAGCTAATTTTTTGTAGAGAGGGAGTTTCACCATGTTGCCCATGCTGGTCTCGAACTCCTGGCCTCAAGTGAGTACTCCTAACTCGGCCTCCCAAAGTACTGGTACTATAGGCGTGAGCCACCGCGCATGGCCGAGACCCCATCTCTTAAGAAAAAGAATTACTAGGTGGGCACGGTGGCTCACACCTGTAATCCCAACACTTTGGGAAGCCTGAGGTCAGGCATTCAAGACCAGCCTGGCCAACATGGTGAAACCATGTCTCTACTAAAAATTCAAAAATTAGCCAGGCGTGGTGGTGGGCACCTGTAATCCCAGCTACTCACGAGGTTGAGGCAAGAGAATTGTTTGAACCCGGGAGGTGGAGGTTGCAGTGAGCTGAGATTGCGCCATTGCACACCAGCTTTTAAAAAGGGGTTAAAATCTCTTAATGCTATATCTTATACATAGACAACAAGAAAATATTATAATCTAGATCCAATACTTGTGTTTACTTAGTTTGAAGTTTTTTGTCTTTGATAGTTGTGCAGTTACCTTGATCAATGTCTGGTATCAACTTATCTGGACCTTGAAAAATTCTTTGGCAGTCATGTTTACTTGAATTGGTGCCAGGATAGGACCATGGTTCACAAGTCTGACTTCTCAGAACTGACAGTGAATCTTCAGAAAGACAAAAACAAAGTACAGTACTCAAGGCTGTCTTTCCCCCAGTCCCCAGTAAGAATTGCCAGGGCCCAGACCTGTGCAGGTTTTAAATCTCCATAGGTAGGTTTTTGGGGTGGCTTTTTTTTTTCTTTTGCCAGATATGAGAACTACACCAAATAAAGGAGAAAAGTCAGCTGGGTGTGATGGCTCATGCCTGTAATCCTAGCACTTTGGGAGGCCAAGACGGGTGGATGTCTTGAGCCCAGGAGTTCGAGACTAGCCTGGCCAACGTGGCAAAACCTGTTCTCTCTCTCTCTCTCTCTTTTTTTTTTTTTTAATTCTTTAGTTAGAAATGAAAAAAAGAAAGAAGTCTAGTTTTTCTGAAACAAGCACTGTCTTGGTGCTAACTTTCTTCATGTGTGGAACACATAGAAAGTGATGTTTGTACAGCACCTTGAAACAAGCAGGAGGTGATGCCAAGAGCCTTAGCCCTGCAGGGACCCTGCTAGGCCTTGTGAAGCTGACCTTGTAACCCTTTCCAGCCCATGGGTGTCAATTGGGAAATTCCACACAAGATCCTAGCAGGTGCAGTTACATATAATTCAATTGAATAAATGGTTTTTGATGATGGGATTTTAAAATCAAGTTATTCAGTAGGCAGGGCGTGGTGACTCACACCTGTAATCCCAGCACTTTGGGAGGCCAAGGCAGGCAGATCACGGGGTCAGGAGTTCAAGACCAGCCTGACCAACATGGTGAAACCCCGTCTTTACTATAAGTACAAAAATTGCCCTGATGGGATGATGAGCGCCTGTAATCCCAGCTACTCAGGAGGCTGAGGCAGGAGAATCACTTGAACCTGGGAGGCAGAGGTTACAGTGAGCCAAGATGGCGTGCTGCACTCCAGCCTGCGTGACAGAGCGAGACTCCGTCTCAAATAGAAAAAAAGCCCAGCGCAGTGGCTGAGGCCTGTAATCCCAGCACTCTAGGAGGCCAAGGCGGGTGGGTCACCTCAGGTCGGGAGTTTGAGAGCAGCCTGACCACCGTGGAGAAACCCCATCTCTACTAACAATACAAAAAATTAGCCGGGCTTTGTGGCACATGCCTGTAGTCCCAGCTACTCGGGAGGCTGAGACAGGAAAATCGCTTGAACCCGGGAGTCCGAGGTTGCAGTGAGCCCAGATCTCGCCATTGTTCTCCAGCCTGGGCAACAACAGCGAAACTCCGTCTCGAAAAAAAAAGAAAGAGAGAAAATCAACCTATTTGAAGACTGGGCGCGGTGGCTTTACTAAAAATACAAAAAATTAGCCGGGCGTGGTGGTGGGTGCCTGTAATCCCAGCTCCTCTGGAGGCTGAGGCAGGAGAATCGCTTGAACCCAGCAGGCGGAGGTTGCAGTGAGCTGAGATCGCCCTATTGCACTCCAGCCTGGGCGACAGTGCCAGACTCCGTCTAAAAAAATAAATCAAGTTATTCATATTTGCCTAACAGACCTCAAAACAAGAGGCCAGGATTAAGTATCAGATTTTCTAGAGTTTTTCTAAACATTTGGACTTAGACATTCCAAGTAAAAATATGTTTTGTTGTGAACAAAAATACACTGGCATTGTTACCTAAGTGTATTTCCAAGATGTTGCCACGTATGTTTTCTTATTTACAGCTAGAGTTAATTATGAAAACTGTGGGGTTGGAGGCGAGGTGGAGGCGGCCGTTTGTTTTCTCGTGGTCTCCAGCTAGCGTGCTCGCTTCCCCTCCCCCGCGGCGTCTGGCGGGGTGGAGAAACGGTGGCAGTGGCAGCTGGAGCAGCAGAGGCTGGAGCATCGGACACCCTCCTCCCACGAACCAGTTCCTCTTTCCACTCCTCGCTGTGTGTTTGATGTATTAAAGCAGGAGCAGGAATGCGAGCAGCGCCATGAGCAACACTACCATCGTCCCCAGCACTGCGGGTCCGGGCCCCAGCGGCGGGCCTAGTAGCGGAGGTGGTGGCGGCGGTGGAGGCTGTGGCACTGAGGTAATAGATGACTAATCTCCCCGAGCACTAGCTCTGAGCAGATGCGGACTCTCTTCGGTTTCCTAGGCAAGATCGATGAACCACACCTCTTCCCGCTGGATAATTCCCCTTTGCCAATCTCAGTCTTGTTAAGTTCCATGATCCAGACTCAGCAGTTGTGGCACCACGTCTGACACTGTGTTCCTTGACAGAGCTTTGATAATGTACCATATGCAGAAGGAGTCATTCCTGATAAGGCTAAGGCTTGCTTGTCTCTGTTGGCACCAGCTAATGCAGTGGCAGGTCTTCTGCCTGGTGTTGGGCTCCTGCCTACTCCTAACCCACTTACTCAGACTGGCGCCGTTCCACCGGCTGCTTTGGGGGCTCCTACTCTTGGTCCTGCCCTTGCTGCCCTTGGGCTTCCTGGAGCAAAGATGAACTCAGTCTGTTGCCACAGATCAGTTGCTGAAGCTTATAAGTACTGTTGATCCCAAGTTGAAGCATGTGGCTGCTGGTCTTGTTTCAGCAAGTCTGAAATCGGATACCTCTAGTAAAGAAATAGAGGAAGAGGCCCTGCGTGGTGGCTCACACCTGTAATCCCAGCACTTTGGGAGGCTGAGGCGGGTGGATCAGTTGAGGTCAGGAATTCAAGACCAACCTGACCAACATGGTGAAACCTTGTCTCTACTAAAAATTCAGAATTAGCTGGGTGTGGTGGCACATCCCGGTAACCCCAAGTACTTAGGAGACTGAGGCAGGAGAAGTGCTTGAACCCTAGAGGTGGAGGTTGCAGTGAGCCCAGATCGTGCCGTTGCACTCCAGCCTGGGCAACAAGAGCAAAACTCTGTCTCAAAAAAAATAGAGGAAGCTATGTAAAGAGTATAAGAAGCACAGTCCCTAATTTCGGCTGCTATAGAACCAAAGAAGAAAGAAGGCATTCAAGATCATCTTCTAAACACAGACAGTCAAGAAACAGATCAAGAGAGCGATCACATTCTAAGTCTAGGAGTCACTGATCCAAAAGCCCAAGACAGAGAAGATCTCATTCCAGAGAGAGAGAGGTAGAAGATCAAGGAGCACATCAAAAACGAGAGACAGAAAGAAGACGAAAGAAACGTTCTAAAACGCCACCAAAAAATTACAGCAGAGCCAGACATTGTAGAAGTACAAACAGAGACGACAACGAAGAAGCAGGAGTGGAACAAGATCTCCCAAAAAGTCGCAGTCTCCTAAAAGAAAATTGTCTCTCTCACCATCCCCTGGGAGACATAAAAAGAAGAAGAAAGATAGTAGGGATGAAAGAGTAGGGAGAAAGATAGTAGGGATGAAAGAGAACGATCAACAAACAAGAAGAAGAGTAAAGATAAGGAAAAGGATCAGGAAAGAAAATCAGAGAGTGATATAGATGTAAAAGTTACACGGGTTTATGATGAAGAGGAACCGGGTTATGACAGTGAGAAAGAGGAAAAAAGAAGAGAAGAAAGCAATAGAAGCAGGTTCCCCTAAAACAAAGAAATGTTCTGTGGAAAAGGGAACTGATGATTCACTAAGATAATCCAAAGTGAATGGGAATGATCATCATGAAGAAGACATGGATATGAGTGACTGAATATTGCCTCTATGGGAATCCAACTGTATACATGCATCAGTGTCATTCCTTTGTGTGATTTCTGAATGCTGTATTTGTTCATCTCAAACCTAGATGTATACAGCTCTGAGTTATTAATGGCTATAAAGCTCCTGTTATTGATACTAATTTACATCAAAAAGCTTTTAGAAAATGGTATGACATAAGCAATTCTTGTCATGGTAACATCTGATGGAGTAACCAAACAGTTTTACTCTTGGTGCTGCTTCATAACAGAAATGAAAAGCTGCATGCTCCTGCAGCAGGAATGGATTGTTTATGTCATATAATTTCCTTTATTAAGTTCACTTATAGTACTTCTAGAATGTTATGCATCGGGTTAATAGAGCCATGTAGGAAATGCACTGATTGCATGTTATTGTGGCAAGAATATCCTAAATGTCATTAAAATCCTCCAACATGATGGATCTACTTATGGTCTTGTTTGTTGACGTGACAAATTAACATTCTTATAGTTCCATCTGGAAATGAGCATTTGAAATAGATAATCCGGCTGGGCACAGTGGCTCACGCCTGTAATTTTCGCACTTTGGGAGGCCAAGGCGGGCAGATCACCTGAGGTGAAGAGTTCCAGACCAGCCTGGCTAACATGGCGAAACCTCGTCTATACTAAAACACACACACACACAAATTAGCCAGGCATGGTGGTGCATGCCTGTAATACCAGCTACTCCGGAGGCTGAGGCAGGAGAATCACTTGAACCCAGGAAGCAGAGATTGCAGTGAACTGAGATCATGCTACTGCACTCCAGCCTAGGTGACACAGCGAGACTCCATCTCAAAAAAAAAAAGAAGAAGAAGAAGAAAGAAAGAAAGAAGGAAAAGAAAAGAAATAGATAATCCTTTAAGCCTTGTGGCAAAATTTTTGTCATTTTGGTTTAACTTTGAATGGTTATTATGCACTAACCTTTTTTGATGGCTAATTAGGGTTTAATTACAGAAACAAGATTTCAAGTAAAACTGTCTTTGGCAGTGAGTAAATAGTATATTTTGAAGCAGAGTTGTGTACTTTTTCATAAGATGTTTGGGAATTTTTTTTCCTGAAATAATTTATTCCACATCTACATCAGTGAAAGCTATCTACCTATCCTGAGTCCATCTTAAACAAAGAAAAAACTTATCTCTTGCCCTTATTTTGAATTTTCCACTCTTCCGTTAATTTGTCTTAAGCTCAGTGTTGGAAAAAAAGGGATAGTGCATTTTAAATTGTCCTTCATATGCTTTTAAAATAAGACAAATTGACTGGGCGTGGTGGCTCACACCTGTAATCCCAACACTTTGGGAGGCCGAGGCAGGCGGATCACCTGAGGTCAGGAGATTGAGATCAACCTGGCCAACATGGTGAAACCCCATCTCTACTAAAAACAGAAAAATTACTGGTGGGCTCCTGTAATCCCAGCTACTCAGGAGTCTGAGGCAGGAGAACACTTGAACCTGGGAGGTGGAAGTTGCAGTGAGCCTAGATTGTGCCACTGCACTCCAGCCTCGGCGACAGAGTGAGACTCTGTCTCAAAAAAAATAATAAAATCTCAAGTTGTATAAAACGGATAAATTTATGTTACTGCAGTAGTATTCTTATGCACACAGTGATTTCATGTTATATATGCAAAGTAGTTAGGCAACTGTTTTCTTTGTTACAGGCATTTCAAGCTCCACTTTTGTGCAGTAAAAAGTAGGCTACAGTCTGTGCCATGTTGATGTACAATTTCTGAAATTATTTTATAATACTTTGATAATAAAACCCTTAAACTTAAAAAAAAAGAAAATTGTGTAATGCCTGAATCATACATTCTCATTCTTATTATGAAATAATCTGCCCTTTATAATAGCTTTATAATTTGGCAATTAACTGAAATGTAAATCTATGTTACCTATTACTTCAAAGAAGGAATTAAAGCAAGAAGCAAAGCATTTAACTCATTTCAAGTGAATTTTTAAACATCCTACATGTACTATTTAGTCTTTCCTCTGATTCCTTACATCACAGTATGTAGACTGTTAACACCACTCTTAAAATGGTTTCTAGGATTCTCATATTCAAACCAGAAGTGAATTATGTATATTCTTTTTTTTTTTTTTCTTTAAGAACTTGAAAGCCAGGCGCAGTGGCTCATGCCTGTAATTCCAGCACTTTGGGAGGCCAAGGCAGGTGAATCATCTGAGGTCAGGAGTTCGAGACCAGCCTGACCAACATGGTGAAACCCCATCTCTATTAAAAATACAAAAATTAGCTGAGTGTGGTGGTGGGCACCTGTAATTCCATCTACTCAGGAGGCTGAGGCAGGAGAATTGCTTGAACCCGGGAGGTGGAGGTTGCAGTGAGCCAAAATGGCCCCATCTGTACTCCAGCCTGGGTGACAGGGCAAGGCTCCCTCTCAAAAACAAAACAAAACAAAAAAAAGAACTTAAGCATGCTGGGCACAGTAGCTCTCGCCTGTAATCCCAGCACTTTGGGAAGCCAAGGCGGGTGGACCACTTTGAGCTCAGGAGTTCAAGACCAACCTGGGAAACATGGCAAAACCCCATCCCTACAAAAATTAGCTGGGCGTGGTTTTGTTGTTGTTGTTGTTGTTGTTTCCCAGTGCCTGTAAAAATTATGCTTACTCTATACTGTAGTCTGTTAAATGTGCAATAGCATTATGTCTAAGAAAAAAAATCTTATATTGCTGAAAAACACTAATGATCATCTGAGCATTCAGCAAGTCCTAATCTTGTTGCTAGTGGAAGGTCTTGCCTCAATGTTGATGCCTGCTAACTGATCAGGGTGGTGGTTGCTGAACGTTGGGATAGCTGTGGTGGTTTCTTAAAATAAGACAACAATGAAGTTTGCTACATCAATTGACTCTTCTTTTCACGAAAACATTTATCTGTAGCATGCAATGGTGTTTGAGAATATATTGCAAGTGGTAGAACTTCTTTCAGAATTGGAGTGGGGTCGGGCATGGTGGCTCATGCCTGTCACTTTGGAAGGACAAGGTGGGAGAATTGCTTGAGGCCAGGAGTTTGAGACCAGCCTTGGCAACATAGCAAGACCCTGTCTCTGGAAAAAAAAAAAAAAATTAATCAGCCAGGATTAAAAATACACATGTCTGTAGTCCCAGCTGCTTGGGAAGCTGAAGCGGCAGGATCGCTTGAGCCCAGGAGGTTAAAGCTGTGGTGAGCTATGATTACTCCACTGCACTCCAGTCTGGGCAGCAGAGCGAAACTCTGTCTCAAAAAATTAAAAAGTAATAATAATAAAATTGAACAGAATCCTCTCAAACCCTGCTGCTGCTTTATCAACCAAGTTTATATATTCTAAATGCTTTGTTGTCATATCAACAATGTTACAGTATCTTCACCAGGAGTAGATTTTATCTCAAACTTTCTTTGCTCATCCATAAGATGCAGTTTCTCGTCCACTGAAGTTTTAGTATGAGATTGAAGCAATTCACTCACGTCTTCAGGCTTCACTTCTGATTCTTTTATTTCTGCCATATCTGCAGTTCCTTCCTCCACTGAAGTTCTAAACCCCTCAAACTCATCCATGAGAGTTGGAACCAATGTTTTCAAACTTCTGTTAATGTTGCTATTTTGACCTCCTCTCTTGAATCACGAATATCTAGTATGTAGAATGGTGAATTCTTTCCAGAAGTTTCTTCTTTAATTCACCCATATCCATCAGAAGAATCACTATCTATAGCAGCTAGAGCCTTATGAAATGCATTTCCTAAATAATAAGAATTGAAAGTTGAAATGACTCCTCAATCCATGGGCTGCAGAATGGATGTTGTATTAATGGTCGTGAAAACCACATTAATCTCCTTATATGTTTCCATCAGAGCTCTTGGGTAACTAGATTCATTGTCAATGGGCAGTCATATTTTGAAAGAAATCTTTCTGAGCAGTAGTTCTCAACAGTGGGTTTAAAATATTCAGTAAACCATGCTATAAATAGGTGTGGTATCATCCAGGCTTTGTTGTTCCATTTTTGGAGCATAAGCAGAGTAGATTTAACATCAGGATTTTCACAATAGTAAATGAGCATTGGCTTCAGCTTGAATTACCAGCTGCATTAGCCCCAAACAAGAGTGTCATCCTATTTGAAGCTTTGGAGCCAGGCATTGACTTTCCCTCTCTAGCTATGAAAGTGCTAGGTGGCATCTTATTCCCATACAAGGCTGTTTTGTCTACATTGAAAACCTGTCACTGAATGCCAACACCTTCAGTTATCTTAGCTAGATCTTCTGAATAACTTGCTGCAGCTTTTCCATCAGCACCTGCTGCTTCACCTTGCACTTATATATTATGGAGATGACTTCTTTCCATACACCTCATGAACCAAACTCTGCCAGCTTCCAACTTTCCTTCTGCAGCTTCCTCACCTCTCTCAACCTTCATAGGATTGAAGATCGTTAGGGCCTTGCTCTGGATTAGGCTTTGGCTTAAGGGAACGTTGTGGCTGTTTGATCTTCTCTTCAGACCACTAAAACTTTCTCCCTATTAGCAACAAGGCTGTTTTGCTTTCTTATCATTTGTATGTTGACTGGAGTAGCACTTATAATTTCCTTCAACAACTTACTTCTTTGACTTCTCAACTTGGGTAACTGCTTACCACAAGGGGCCTAGTTTTCGGCCTCTCAGCTTTTCGACATGCCTTCCTCACTAACCTTAATCATTTCTAGCATTTGATTTAAAGTGATAAGCCTGCAACTCTTCCTTTCACTTGAACTGTTAGAAGCCATTGTAGGGTTATTAATTGGCCTAATTTCAATATTGTTGTGTCTGGGGGAATAAGCAGGCCCAAGGAAAGGAAGAGAGATGGGACAACGACCGCTCAGTGAAACAGAGCACACAACCTTTATCGATTTTACCGTCTCTTATGAGCGAGGTTCCTGGCTCCCCCAAAACTATTATAAAGGATGAGCCAGGAGGATTGCTTGAGCCCAGAAGTTCAAGACCAGCCTGGGCAACATAGTGAGGCCCCTGTCTCTACAAAAAAATAAATTAGCTGGGCATGGTGGCATGTGTCTGTAGTCCTAGCTATGCGAGAGGCTGAGGTGGGAGGATCGCCTAAGCCTAGGAGTTTGGGGCTGCAGAGAGCCATGATAGGGCCACCACATTCCAACCTGGGCAACAGATCATAACAGTAAGAATTTTTTGTTTAACTGATGGTTGTTCCAACTACCTTTACATTTAATTAAAAAGTTTGACAAATAAAATTAATTTATTAATCACGTTGGTGGTAAACTGACATGAGGGAACTACCTGGGTAAATGGAAACATTCCATATATTTTTACTGTTAACATATGTGAATAGTTTTGTCAAAAGTCATTGATGTACAACTAAAATTTGTCAATTTATTCTTCAGTGAAGATTTTTTTTTTTTTTTCAGTATCCTCACTTCCAAAAAGCAGTTGTAGGCACAGAGATTTAAAAATAAATGGTCTCGTCTGAATGAAACTTTTAGTTGAGATATTGTTAAAAGACAAGCGTGTGTTTAATTATCACTTAATTGACTAAAAAGTAGATTAAACCAGTCATAGGAGGTTTTTAATTTGATAACTAAACAAATTTTATTGGGTGAAACATTGGCAGTTAGACTGAAAATATAATTGTCTAGAAAAATAATTTTAAGGTTTAGTTTTTTCTTACATTATATTAATAAATTTATTAATATTGAGATTAATGAACTTTTGTTGTAGACTTAGCTGAATCAGTAAGTAGCATTTGTCAGCCACAATAGAAATCCTTATTTTCTATATATGAAAGATGAAAATTACATAAAGTAAACGTTACAAATTACTATTATAAGCAGACCTGTCTGCTTACAAATGATAAAGCTTTCTTGGCCTTTTACTATATACATCATAATTGTCTTTTGAGTGCTTTAACTCAAGTACAGAGCCTGCTAAAACAAATATTTTTCTAGAGGCAGTAATTAAGTGTAACATAGCTGGAAATGTTAAGCTTGGTTTCAGACTACCTTTTTAGGAGCTGAGGAGACATACCAAGTCTTTGCCGAATAAGTCTTAGTTTGCATATCCTTGAGTAATTCTCCATGTGGTATTTTACTGTGAGAAAATCCAAAATAGAGTGTCTATAAATGTCAAGATTACCTTTAACAAAATATGTGATTAAGTGACACATTCAATATATTATAATATTTTGATATTTTTAGAGAACTAATTTTTTATAACCTTACACAGAACTGAATATCATTTTCAGCTTTATTACTGAATTCATAATCAATTAAATTATACCGGTTTTCTCCTGAATGTGTAGGTTCTTGCCCTTTAGTTTATCCTTTGAATTATGATTTATCATCTATTTTAGTATGTGTAGCAATATTAATTGACTATATCATGATTATATGTATGAAGTAAAACTAGTTGTGACAGTGTTGCAATTAGTAGTTTTTTTCTTGAAAGTATTTCACAGCATTTAATACTTGTTCAAATGGTTTATATGACTTAAATCTGTACAACCATGGGGTAAAATGTAAACAACTGCACTATTAGGAAGATATTAAAGTAGAGGCTATATTTACAGTGTCGTCTTTCAAATCTAGCTATGCTGTAAACTGATGTTTGCTGTATGCTCCTCCTGATTTGAAATAGATGAAAGAAAATGAACCTATTATCACCATGGTTCACACAATGATTGAGAACTCGGCGCTAAGACCCCAACTGTACCAGCAAGTAAGGTCTTGGACAGTGAATGATACTGCTTTATCATCTGCAAAATCCCTCAGTGACAGTTTTGATTTATTCTCAGATTTACTCATGACATCAGTGTTTTTCTTATGTTATTTTTTGTTTATGTTTATTTGGAAAACCACAATTCATCCATGCTTTTCAAGATGCTGCAGTATTCTTAGCATGGCTTCGCTGAACATTTTGCTGTTGAATATTAAATGTGCCATTTTCCTAAAGTTTTTGTGCAGAGTATTTGATTGGTATGTACTTGGAGGTCTGCAGTACATTTGCAAAATTACTAGATTTTCATATGGTTTTATTAACTTTAAAAGCATTATACCTATTTTTTAGGGAAAAGGCTTTGTAAAAATATTTACTTTCAGGGGTAGCCCTTCACAACGTCCCCCAACCTAGTGTTTTAAGAATACATTATATTTGTATGGGCGTTATTCAAATCTAGTTTCTGTACTGTGGTATGGTAAAACTTAAAGATAGCCGCTTCTTAACATACTGGGGGTATTTTCTCCCTGTGTTCTTACCATTCTCAAGCAGTCGTCAAGACTATTATAAGTTGCCCTATTGTTTTTCCAAACTCAAAATGTGTGTCATGGAGTTGACTGGCTTTAACTTAGGAACCTTAGTAATCTGCAGATCTGCAAAAGAAGTCATATATGTTTCTATCAAATTTTTGTGTATTTCATGGTCTAAATGTTTCTAGCTATGTGTTTCTCAGCATCAGCTTCTTCCACTTCAACACCCTCAAATTACTCTGGCGTATGACCTTTATAATCTTTAAAAATCATGCAGAAGAAGAAAATTAACTAACATGAAAAATGAATATATATTTTGATTAAAATGTATAAGGCACCTAGTAAAAAGAAGGACTTTGAGCTCACACTGGCTTTTTAGGCCTCTATTTGGTTCAGTTGCCATGGGATCTGCATCGCAGGGCCCTGTAACTGAGGATTGGGTACAGTTGATCAGAAGGTGACTTATATTTCAGCACAGTTTTCAAAGTATTTAAAGTGTATTTTTAGATGACTGAAAATGGTCTCAAATTTGCAATAAAGAGATTAACAAACTATTAAATATTTAAAGTTAAACAGCTTTACTTATCAAAAGAAAATGGAATCTTTCAATTCTTAAAGTCACCAGATTATAGACTTTGGTACTCTATTCCAAAGTACCACACTGAGAGTCTTAATACTTATTCCAAAACTGATACCATCTGCAGTGTCTGAAGCTGTCAGTAAAATATATCATCTATGTAATGCTAAATTGACATGAGATCAAAGAGATTTTGTTATAATAGGTTATGTTTTTATCACGTTTTGCATGTTTTAGCCTGGATTTCCTGTTTAGTTTGGTTGGTTTTTCTTTTTTATAATGCTCAACATTCAGGGTTATTGATGCGGAAGTCTGATAGTTTAAATTATTCAGTTGCATTAAAAGTTCTAATTGGGGTTTTCCCAAATGTGGAGATCTGAAATGGGAAGGGCTGAGAGGGGGAGAAAAAAGTGAAGATGAGACTGGCTCAGTATAGCATCACTGACCTTGAATACTGAAAGAGCAATAGATTTGTATAAATATTTCTTCATATTAATACGTGAAAGAAAACTAAAATTGTACAGAACAGAAAGATCTGAATGCCTAATGTCAGCAGCCTTGCCTGGGCATGGCTGAGCCACCAGTTACCAGGAAATCAGTGTTAACTCTCAGTGCTGTTAAGGCTAGGGAGTCTTCAGACTGTCTTATTTTTATTCAGCCACTACTAAAGGACTTAATTATTGCAGGACATCCTTAATAGATTAAAGTGACAGCCTGACACATTTTTTTAAACTGTGTTTATAAATTTGCACAAATTGAAATTATATTTTTTGTTTCTCCAGGTTTCCCTTATCATGTTATTATCCAGGGAAAATGTACTGGTACAGTTTGCTTTTCTGAAGTTGATTGACAATGTTGTATTAATAAGTTCTTGATATTTAGCTAGAAATACAATGGCAAAATGTTTCATAACCCATTTTATTCTGAATCATAGCCACTCAATTTATGGAAATGTTTGCATTTTTCTTCCTTGGAGGACGCCCAAGAAATTATCTAGGCAGTAATTTTCTTAAAATTGGTCAAATAAAAAAGACTTAAAACTGAATCCAGGCCTGGCAAGGTGGCTTATTCCTATAATCCCAGCAATTTGTGAGGCCCAAGCTGAAGGATCACTTGAGCCCAGGAGTTTGAGACTAGACTGGGCAACAAAGCAAGACCCTGTCTCTACAAAATATAAAAAAATTAGCCAGGCATGGTGGCACACACCAATAGTCCTAGCTACTCAGGAGACTGAGACAGGAGTCCAAAGCTGCAATGAACTGTGATTACAATTACACCACTATGCTCCAGCCTGGGTGACAGAATGAGATACTGTCTCTTTTTGTTTGTTTGTTTTTAAAGCATTCTGTATTCCACCGGGCGCAGTGGCTCACGCCTGTAATCCCAGCACTTTGGGAGGCTGAGGCAGGCAGATCACGAGGTCAGGAGATCGAGACCATCCTGGCTAACACGGTGAAACCCCGTCTCTACTAAAAATACAAAAAATTAGCCAGGCGTGGTGGCGTTTTTTGCCCTCTATGGATATAATATCTAATTTTATCAAATTTTAAAATATTTCCCCAAAACTCCTTTTTGGAGTTTATGTATTATGTTCATATACTCTAAAATATATGTAGTTCACATACCTAAGGGATATTGAAGTTGAATTTTAATTAACATAAGTAACTTTGTTTTACTGCCAAGGACAGCTTTATAAAAAAAGAAACTATCAGATACTTTAAAAGTTTCCAACATCCTAAATAAAATATAACACATGTCCTTATGTAGTTAATAAAATCTATATAATACACTCCTCAACCTGAAGTTGGAGCACTGCACAAATTTATGTCATTACTACATAGCCCATTTTTTCATTTGCTTTTCTAGTGTTGCTAAAGTACTTCAAATGAAGTATTCAAACCAAACCTTTTTTTTTTTGCTAAAGGTGTATTTGAAAAAACTGATAAAAAGTGTTACCATGAACTTAACCATGCAAAACTTGAGTTAAGCAGAATGCTCATGAAATTTACATTTTCCTTCTTTTTTTTTTTTTTTTTTTTTTTTGGTAAGACCGGAGGTTGGGATGAGGGGTCAGGATTTTCATATTGAGAACGAAATAGCAACCTTTTCAATTATATGAAAGTGTTTTTGTTTGTTTAAGGAATAATTTTGTTTTCTTATGCTTTTATTCTGTCATAAAAGCAGTGTGTGGGGAAAGGTTTAAGGATTTGGTTAGTTGATGTCTATTGAATATCTTTATTGAATAACTTAAAAGATTTAAAGAAAAATTTCGGTGGTACTGAAAGAAATACCACAAAAATCGGATTGATACGTGTAATATATTTATATGGCTATAAAGGAGATATCACTCTAAAGTTGTAACTACAGTAAACATTTTTCTCTATTATGATATGCTAGCTGATGTAAAAATAAATCTGCAATAAGACTCCACAAATAAAAATAGTATGTCAATATCCTAAAGATTTACTATAAATTACTAAGTTTTCACTTTAATATACTAGTCTTTTTTTCTGTTGACTCTGAGATGTAGGGTATATTTGATATTTTAATCCAGATGAAACACTGTCCGCTAGTTATATTCAGATTCTGTAGTCTAGTAAAGCTGTTTTGCATTTAACTTTAAATATTAAGCAAACTATGACTGGGCGTGGTGGCTCATGCCTATAATCCTAGCACTTTGGGAGGCCAAGATGGGAGGATCACTTGAGGTCAGGAGTTCGAGACCAGCCTGGCCAACATGGTGAAACCCTGTCTCTACTAAAAATACAAAAATTAGCTGGGCATGGTGGTGCATGTATAATCCAAGCTACTCTGGAGGCTGAGGCAGAGGAATCACTTGAACCTGGGAGGCGGAGGTTGCCCACTGCACTCCAGGCTGGGCAATAGCGAGACTCCATCTCAAAAAATAAATAAATAAATACTAAGGAAACTGTATTTGAACATCTTAGTAGCTTATGACCTTTCATCTTTAATTTGTTATAAATGTGAAAAATGTAATTTTGGCATTGTCTTACATTTTTTATCATAGATCTACCTATTTAAAACTTACTTTTTATTATTTTTTTTCCAGATAGGAATATAAATTATTTTCTTGGATCTAGGTGCTTTAATTTACAGTGACATTTGACACTTCTCAGGACACACCTGAGGATACTTATTTTGAATAGTGTAAGAGTATTCTAACTTTTGTCATTAAATTCATTTTTCATGTAATATTCATTTCTATGAAAGTTTTGTGGTTTAACAATCACTGTGCATACCCTTAAATAGTCACAGATTGATTTGCATGAGGTATGTGAAAGTAATGTCTTGAAATGAAATGTAAATCCAGGATTTATTTTATGTTTGGAATGCTTATATTTTTAACCTTCTCCTGATTCCCACATTTCTAGATCAATTCAAAGTTATCTCCTATTTAAATCATTATTTAATGCTTCCTTTTAAAGCTGTAACTGTCAGGCAGTTTCTTTCATAGAGAAAACATACAGAATTGTCATTTATACATTCTTTTGTATTATGCATATATGAAATTTAATTTTCTAAACTGGAATATAGTTGGGACACATTACTTCTAACCTCACCTTGAAAAAATTGTGCAATTTAGTAAGCATACAATGAGCCCCATTTAAATTTTTTCTACTGTGTTTTTGTTACTTTCTCACAGTCAATATAAAAATCAAAAGACAAAAATAGTGAAGTATTGCCTGCAGAGGCTATGATGTTATCTGTGATATAACTGACTGGGATGGCTATTGAAATCTTGCTAAGCACAATCAGAAGTAACCACAAAATACCTTTTAACCAAAATATACTGGGAAGAAGCTGAAGAAAGGATATTTAAGTACACTAAATAATTCCTTACAATAGAGTAACACAAATGGTGTCAACGAACACACATAAACTTTTTAATGAAATTTGACTACCCATAGTTTGTAACATAGGCTTTCAGTTTTATGAGGTTTCGAATGATTTTCCTCTTTTCAATTAAACCCATCCTTTTCCTTCATTATCTTTTAGTTCTTAAGACAGAAGAACAAGATAAGTCTATATTGTGTATGTGTGTTTATATATTATGTATATGTATACAATATGTTATAGGTTTTCGTTAAATAAGATGTGTTGACATTTGAGTGTACACATATACAGTGTGTGATTATGTGTATACTGTGAAGGATGGTTTTGACTGTTGAATTTTGCTTGATTTAAGTATTTGATTTGATATAGTTGCAATGATTGTATTTGTCAATTTTTTTATTAAAATAATGTGTGTCTTTAAAAGAAAGAATGTAAGATACTGTATTAGTTTTGTTTGACCAGCATATTATTATGTTTAACAAGCTTGTTACATACATCATTCTTATGTATCTTGCATATTATATCACTGTTAAGTATTTTTCTACTTTGTTAATCAGTGTTTGAATTAAACTTCTAAAAGTATAAGAATCATTAAAATCCATCTTTGTTATATTATATATATTTAATATAAATCCAAAGTATTAATTATAGGCTAAATATATTTTTAAATTAAGATTTTTAAGTTGCTATATGATTTTTTTCTTATAGCTGTCACAAGATGAAGGTAGAGGCACATTATACAAATACAGACCTGAAGAAGTAGATATTGATGTAAGTATTAGTATGATATTTATTGTCAGTACTCTGTTATATTCTCTGCCAAAAACACTGGAAATAAGCATAACCAAAAAACTTCTTTCTCCCAAGTCGTCCAAAATGACATCAGATAAATTCATATTTTATGTGTGTGCTCTAAATTATTGTTCCCTGTCCTCTACATCCCTCTACTCCCTATCGTTAGTAGTCCAACATATGAAGCATCACTTAAATGAAAGTAAAAACTATTTCTGATTTTTAGAAGTTACAGATTGACTGGGTGCAGTGGCTCATACCTTTAGTCCCAGCACTTTGGGAAGCCGAGGTGGGCGGATCACTTGAGGCCAGGAGTTTGAGATCAGCCGGGGCAACGTAGCATACTAAAATACAAAAATTACTAAATATACAAAAATTGTCTCTAGTAAAAATACAAAAATTAGCTGGGCATGGTGGTACGTGCTTGTAATCCCAGCTACTCGGGAGGATGAGGCATGAGAATCTCTTGAACCCAGAAGGGAGAGGTGCAGTGAGCTGAGATCATGCCACTGCACTCCAGCCTGGGTTATGGAGTGAGACCCTGCCTCAAAACAAACAAACAAAAAAAGTTATGGAAGACTGGAGACAAAGAAGAATTGCTATGTTTTTCAGATAAAGTATCGGCCTTTAGAAATTTTATCACTACTCCTTTTTAAATTAAATTTAGTTTCTTTTAAATCATATTTTAGATTGCTGATTTGCCATACATTCTTATGCATACTTCCCTCGTTATTTCCCCTGGTTTTATTTCATTGAGTTTTTTGAGTTATACCCCCTTTTCTTTTTTTTTTTTTTTTTTTTCTTTTTGAGTCAGGGTCTCTCCCTGTTACCCAGGTTGGAGTGTAGTATCACGATCTCAGCTCACTGCAACCTCTGCCTCTTGGGTTCAAGTGATTCTTATGCCTCGGACTCCCATATAGCTGGGATTACGGGAGCACGCCACCATGCCCAGCTGACTTTTTGTATTTTTTTTTTTTTTAGTAGAGACAGGGTTTCGCCATGTTAGCCAGGCTGCTCTCGACCTCCTGACCTCAGGTGATCCACCCACCTTGGCCTCCCAAAGTGCAGGGATTGTGGGGGTGAGCCACCGAGCCCAGCCCCCCACTTTTTCTTTTTAACACCTTTCATTTTGTGTGGCCTGAGTCTTGTTGTCTGACAAAGACAAGGTAGTTATTTTAATAGATAAATGGCAAAGAAGGTAAAGTCTTAAATTTCTTGCTTATATGTCATTATGCCATAAAGTTGGGGACATGTTTCCAATTTGTCCAATGTTTTCATTTTGAAACATTAAAACTGGCTTATTGTACTATTGAAATTTTATTAGAGTACTTTCTTATACTTTCTTAATTAAGAAATTAGGGTAATATTAAGAATTTAGGCCGGGCTCGGTGGCTCAAGCCTGTAATCCCAGCACTTTGGGAGGCCGAGACGGGCGGATCACGAGGTCAGGAGATCGAGACCATCCTGGCTAACACGGTGAAACCCCGTCTCTACTAAAAAATACAAAAAAACTAGCCGGGCGAGGTGGCGGGCGCCTGTAGTCCCAGCTACTTGGGAGGCTGAGGCAGAAGAATGGCATAAACCCGGGAGGCGGAGCTTGCAGTGAGCTGAGATCCGGCCACTGCACTCCAGCCTGGGCGACAAGCCAGACTCTGTCTCAAAAAAAAAAAAAAAAAAAGAATTTAAACACTAAAACTGATGAAAGTTATTTTTCTCCTTTAATACTATTTTTATTTGTATTTCAATTAGAAGTGATCTATTGTTTACATTATTTTCTAAGACTCCAAGAGCATGATTTTTTAAATATGTAACAATAGAATCCAGTAAGCATTTTAATTAAGGACTGCATATATCACTTAACCTATTTAGCAGATTGTAGAGTCAAAATGCTTACATGCCTATTTTTTAGACATTCTGTCTTTATAAGCTATATTTTAGCTTTTATTTTATGGATTGAAATAAAGATTTTTGGTCAGATAATGATTGCCTACCTCCAATTACAGAAAAAATTTAAAAATTGCTAACAAGACATCTTCTCTTATAACCTAGGCCAAGTTAAGCCGATTATGTGAACAAGATAAAGTGGTGCATGCTCTGGAAGAGAAACTTCAGCAACTCCACAAGGAGAAAGTAGGACAGTTATGTTTATTGTCTACAACTGATGTTACTTAATATGATTATTATCAGGACACTGATAAGTAAAAAGAATTAATACGATGATGCAGAACGTTAAATGTAATTCTTTTTATTATAATAGTATACGCTTGAGCAAGCTTTGCTGTCAGCCAGCCAAGAGATAGAAATGCATGCAGATAACCCAGCAGCCATTCAGACAGTGGTGTTACAAAGGGATGATTTACAAAATGGACTGCTTAGTACGTGTCGAGAACTTTCTCGAGCCACTGCCGTAAGTAGATTTTTTTTCCCCCTAATAGAAGTAACTTGAATATGTAGTTCTATTTTCTTCTCTCTCTTTTTTTTTTTTAAATACTGGGCTCTCTTTAGGATTCTTCATTATTATTATAGCAAAAAATAGTAATTTGTTATTAGTGTGCTTCTCTTTAGGAACATAAAAATAAAAGATTATTTAATTAGTGGGCATTCTGTTATTTATTTACTTATGAGACAAGTTCTCACTCTGTCACCCAGGCTGGAGTACAGTAGTTTGACTATAACTCACTTGTAGCCTGAATCTCTTGGACTCAAGTGAGAGCCTTGGCCTCGCAAGTAGCTGGGACTACAGGCTGGCACTACTACACCTGGCTAGATTTTTTTTTTTTTTTTTTTTTTTTGCATAGAGATGGGGCCTTACTGTGTTGCCCAGGCTGGTCTTAAACTCCTGGTCTCAAGTGATTCTCCTGGCTTGGCCTCCCAAAGTGCTGCAATTACAGGTGTAAGCCACCACACCCAGCCAAACATTTTGTCTTTGTGAAATGAGTGTTTTACAGGGGAGATAAGTACTCCTGTTTTTATGTATCATGTAAATGAAAAATTCTGAAATATGTGAAAATGTATTGCATTAAGAAAATAAATAGGCCGGACACGGTGGCTCATGCCTGTAATCCTAGCACTTTGGGAGGCCGAGGTGGGTGGATCACCTGAAGTCAGGAGTTCAAGACCAGCCTGACCAGCATGGTGAAACCCCATCTCTACTAAATATACAAAATTAGCCAGGTGTGGTGGCACGCACCTGTAATCCCAGCTACTCAGTGGGCTGAGGCGGGAAAATCACCTGAGCCTGGGAGGCAGAGGTTGCAGTGAGCCAAGATCACGCCATTACACTCCAGCCTGGGCGACAAGACTGAAACTCTGTCTCAATCAATCAATCAGTAGAAATATAAATAGCAAGGCTGGGTGTGGTGGCTCACGCCTCTAATCCCAGGACTTTGGGAGGCTAAGGCAGGTGGATCATTTGAGGTCAGGAGTTCGAGACTAGCCTGGCCAACATGGTGAAACCTCATCTCTACCAAAATACAAAAATTAGCTGGGTGTGGTGGCAGGTGCCTGTAATCCCAGCTACTTGGGAGGCTGAGGCAGGAGAATTGCTTGAACCAGGAGGCAGAGGTTGCAGTGAGCCAAGATCATGCCTCTGCACTCCACCCTGGGCAACAGAGTGAGACCCTGTTTTTAAAAAAAAAAAAAAAAGAAGGAAAGAAATATACATAACAGAACCTTGTAACTCATAGACATATGACTATGACTGTGAGTCTCTTGGAATGACGAAATCTAAAAGTCTTAACTTGCAGCTTATAAATTGAGTGTTTTATGAGTTTAAACAGCTGGCTTTAGATCCTATGATGTGGTCATCTTTATAAACATAGTAAGAGCACCAGTCCAAGCAGCTCTTTGAAAGAGAAATCTTAGCAAAAACTGCCATGTTATATAAAACTGCTCCCAAACCTTTGTCTGTACTTACACTTCAATGGGCTGGGGAGCAGCTATCTTTTAAGAAGGGCCACAGACAGTATAGCTTAATTTAGAGGAGGCTTTCCAGGCTGGCAAGATCCCAGAATCTCAACTTGGCTTCTATTCTGAACCCTGAATTCCAAACGTGAGCTGTTTTTAAAGGAATATACCATGATTTTGAAATCATTGAAAACTTAATTTGAGAAAGTCTTAAATACCTTATGTTTCTATTTCCATTTTTAAAATACTGTTATTGCTGTTGTCTCATTTGAGTCTCTTAATTATATTGTCATGTTTATAGGCTTTTTAAAAATTTAATATCCTTTCCATTGTGAATTTCTTGAAATAAGAAACTGTGTCTCATTCACATTTGATGAATGATTGAGCTGAATGACTTACCCAAGGTTACAAAGCTAACAAATAATATGCCTAAAACTCAAATCCAGATCTTCTTACCACAGTTCTGAAGAATTAGATCTATATGAATTTCTGTAATATAGTCATAAAGAAAATATAAGCACCTGAAATACTGTCTACAAGGAAGTAGTCACTAAGCTAATCAAGGATAGGTAGGATTTGAATACAACGAGAAGAGAAATGAAGAGTAGTTTATTCAAATAAAACAAAACACCTTAAGCCACAGCAAAGATGAGAATGTAGGAGACATGTTTGGAAAAGGAGGAAATAGAACTAACTGCCTGAGTGGGATAGAGGATTCTTGTGAGAGGATAGAAAATGTGAGATTAGAAAGGGAAAATGGGGTTAAGCTGTCAATGCCAAGCTAATGAGAAGCTCAGGGTCTCTAGGACAACTTGAGTCAAATCAAAATGGTAGGCTCTACAGACATTTAGTTGGAAACTATTTAATGATTTGATGTCTGCTCTTGAAATTCTAATTTTAAGAAATCCCTTATCAACTGGGATTAATAAATTAAATCTCATCAGTAGGCTCAGAATTCGCTCCATCTCAAGGTTAACTTTAGCTCAGATGGGAATATGTTAAAAATGTCTTAACAGAAATGAATGTTGCCAGGAGTGCTGGCTCACACCTGTAATCAGTACTTTGGGAGGCTGAGGCAGGAGGATTGCTTGGGCCCAGGAGTTTGAGACCACCAAACTGGGCAACTTAGGGAGACCCTATCTCTACAAGAAACAAAAAGTAGCTGAGCATGGTGTTGTACACCTGTGATCCTAGCTACTTAGGAGACGGAGGTGGGAGGATCTCTTGAGCCCAGGACGTCAAGGCTGTGTGATTATGCCACTGCACTCCAGCCTGGGTGATAGAGTGATTCACTGTCTCTAAAACAAAATAGTTAATAATAGAAGGCCAGGCATGGTGGCTCACGCCTGTAATCCCAGCACTTTGGGAGGCCAAGACAGGCAGATCACAAGGTCAGGAGTTCGAGACCAGCCTGGCTGACATGGTGAAACCCCGCCTCTAATAAAAATACAGAAATTAGCCAGGCGTGATGGCAGATGCCTGTAATCCCAGCTACTCAGGAGGCTGAGGCAGGAGAATCACTTGAACCTGGGAGGCAGAGGTTGCAGTGAGCTGAGATCATGCCATTGCACTTCAGCCTGGAAGACAGCAAGACTCTGTCTCAAAAAAAAAAGTAATAATAAATAGAAAATAGGCCAGGCAGGCATGGTGGCTCAAGCTTGTAATCCTAGCACTTTGGGAGGCCAAGATGGGCGGATCACCTAAGGCCAGGAGTTCAAGACCAGCCTGACCAACATGGAGAAACCCTGTCTCTATTAAAAATACAAGATTAGCTGGGCATGGTGGCGCATGCCTGTAATCCCAGCTACTCAGGAGGCTGAGGCAGGAGAATCACTTGAATCCAGGAGGCTGAGGTTGTGGTGAGCCAAGATCGCGCCATTGCACTCTGGCCTGGGCAACAAGAGCGAAACTCCATCTGAAAAAAAATAAATAAATAAAATAAAAATAAATTGATCTTCTGAGTATCCCCTTTTCTGGTTTTTATCTTATGTAATCACTTTCCTGGTTTCTTTTTCCTTGCCTTCAGCAATAATCAGTGGTTATGACAAACCCTCAGAATATATTCTTCTAAGACAAGTCTTACTGCCTAGAATACAAACTATGTTATTTGTGCCTTTATGTAAACTTATTTATATTTGTAGCTTAAGGCTTCAAATGTTAGCATGTGCGTAACATCATACTGGGCATATGGTTGGCACTCAGTGAATGTTGATTAGATTTAAATTTGAATTACATTTTTGCTGGCAGAATCTCAAAGGATTTCACTGAATCTGTCACAGTCAATTCATAGCACTAGTTCAAATCTAAGCCCCAAGCAGAAGGCGTGTAACATTAGCACCTCTATAGATTAAAGCTGTGATTCTGAGAACTCTTCTCACCTGGTAGGCCACAAAGTACACAAAACTAGGATTAGCACAAGGGAAACATGTAAAGCAGTGTTCTCTATACTTTTTATTTATTTTTATTTTATTTTAGGTTTGGGGGTACATGTGCAGGTTTGTTAACTGGGTCTATTGTGTGATGCTGAGGTTTGGTGTATGAATGAGCCCGTCACCCAGGTACCTAGCATAGTACCCAATTTCAACCTTTATCCCCATTCTTTCCCCACCCTCAGTAGTCCCCAGTTTCACTGTTAAACCATCTTTATGTCCATGAGTACCAGCGTTTAGCTTCCACCTGTGAGAACGTGCAGTATTTGGTTTTCTTTTCCTGTATTAATTTTCTTAGGATAATGGCCTCTGGTTGCATCCATGATGCTGCAGAGGACCTAATTTCATTCTTCGTTATCGTTGTGTAGTACTGTGGTGTATATGTACCACATTTTCTTTAACCAGTCCACCATCGATGGGCATCTAGGTTGGTTCCATGTATTTGCTATTGTAAATAGTTCTGTGGTGAACATGCAAGTGCGTAGGTATGTTTGGTAGAAAGATTTGCTTTCTTTTGGATATACTTTTGGATATATACGCAGTAATGCAATTGCTGGGTCAAATGGTAGTTCTGATTTAAGTTCTTTGAGAAATCCATAGTGTCCGTAGTGGCCGAACTAATTCATATGTCCTCTCACCGTGTTATACGCATTTCCTTTTCTCTGCAGTCTTGCCAGCATCTGTTTTTTGTTTTTTGGGTTTTTTTAGTTTTTAATAGTAGCCATTCTGATGAATGTGAGATGGTATCTCATTGTGATTTTAATTTGTATTTCTCTGATGATTAGTGATATGGAGCATTTTTTATATGTTTTTTAGCCACTTATATGTCTTCCTTTAAGTGTCTGTTCATGTCTTTTGCCCATTTTTTAAGAGTTATTTGTTTTGTTTTTTCCTTGTTCAATTGCTTAAGCTCCTTATAGATTCTGGATATTCAACCTTTGTTGGATGCATAGTTTGTGAGTCTTTTCTCTCATTCTGCAGGCTGTTTATTCTATTGATAGTTTCTTTTGCTTTACAGAAGCTCTTTAATTAGGTACCACTTGTCAATTTTTGTTTTTGCTGCAATTACTTT